GGGGGGGGGGTCGCTAGGTGTCAGATGTAAGATTAGCGAGAAAACGGCTAACAAAATTTGGCGACGGGCCGGATTAAGGGGAGGGCCTATTATATATAAGCGGCCCTGGGACCTAGGGTCTCCTACCAAGAGGTCGCCTGCCCCCAAATATAGTAGCATCGAGTTAGATAATAATATTAAAACTACGTGAATCAGACTTCAGTGACATCATCAGCGACTGTGTGGCACAAAAATCGAGAAAAGAGTCTGGACTGTAATGGTTTCTCACACATGCACACATACACACCTCATCCCGCCTCGTCATCTACTCTCTGATTTGAGCTATATTTACTTGTTTCTTAATACTATACTTTTATCATGAAAAAATAGAAAATTTCTACTGTATTTCTCAGTGTAAAAACTTTGGTTAGACTAACAACCCGTGTTCATTTCATGTTCACTTTTATATTTGTTCATAAGACCCCGTTCAGTATTTTCTAAAAAGAAGTATCCTATGTATATACGATTTAGGCTACTAGTCTGTGGTATATGCAGTAATTGAAGTTTGGAATGCTTAATTAATCCAGCCCTGGTATGGTGACTTCCAATTTCCAAAACTGTAGTATCCTTGGAGATTGCAACAAATATACATTTTTTATACCTTTTATCAATGGCTTTCACTTTCAGTAAAATCAATGCACGAATAAATTATGTTTTTAAGTGGAGAAAAACAGATAATTAGCCCAACAAACAAACAAACAAAAATTGATTTGAAAATTGCCAAATGGGCGAAAAAGTGTTGATTTCGGTAATTTCATTATTTTGACAGGCGCCTAATTTCACCACGATGCGTGACAAATGAGGGTAGTACATAGTATAGTTATAAACCCTACCTTCACTATTTACATCGTACAGAAGGCGTGCTATTGTACCTCGTCTGACACGGCCTACCCGATCTTACTGGAATATTTCACACCTACAGAATAAGGGAGATATTGATGGAGATAATAATAATTTTATCTGGGAAGGGATTAGAGCCACATTGTGTTTTTTGTGGGAAAAATCAAAGCATTGTTCCTAAGATAAAGCGTTGACAACAAGTTGTGGGTAAGCGGGAAGTCATATTATGGTTTCAGTTGTCATAGGAAACTTATTTCTTTCTTTCTTTCTTTCTTTCTTTCTTTCTTTCTTTCTTTCTTTCTTTCTTT